AACTGTGAAATTCACGGTAAACTATGGAAGATCCTAAGTGATATAATTTGATGCTTAAAAAACGAAACTGAGTAAATTTTGTTATTTGCTTATATACGTATCTATTTATTTTTTATTCATTAAAGCAATTCTTTTTCTCCATACATTATTATAATTTTATATATTATTTAATTTTAATTTGACAATTCATTTATGTATTTATTTATTTTAAATAATAGAAGGTTTTGATTGAAGTTTTTTCTTGAAACTTAATTTTTATTGTGTTTATTCATGTTGGGAAAAATGTTTTACTTTCAGGAAGGGAGATATACTTCACTCCCAAAGTGACACGGTAACAGACAATTTCACGTATGTTATCTGATGATAAATGAAGGCATGAAACTATCAATCCCTAATCTTGATTCCTGTGTCCACACAGTCTATGTCTATAAACACTACGATTTTGAACACTGTTCCTTCATAAAAATAGCAAATTCCAAACAATTTACACACACACACACACACACATATATATATATATATATATATATATATATATATATATATATATATATATATGCATACCAACTTATATACCAATTTATACCAACGGCTTCCCATACTTGACACTTCTCGTTTTCACTCTCGCGTGGTCATGCGTGATGTCATAAGCTGCGGTGCGATTTTCGCTTCCAGCGTCCCGTATGCACGGGTTTGTTGTTGCTTGGAAATCTTTCATGCAAACAAAAACAGACTATCATTATTGTCTTGTCCGTGTATTGGTTAATATATTGTAATGCAATTGTCATCTTTGATAATGGCTTATGATAGCCGAAAGCTTATCTAGGGTTAAAAAATATGTATCAATATGTTGATTTTATATCTTATTGCTTATCAGACTATACGAACAGAATTTACATAATAGACAAAACTTGTCTATATTGTTTTATATAACATATATATATATATATATATATATATATATATATATATATATATATATATATATATATATATATATATATGCTCTGTTTATAGAAACAGAAAATTTGCTTAAATATTTGTGTCTATATAAATAACGTAGAACGATAAAAATATATTTTAAAAATTGTAAAATTTTGTCCATTTCGTTGTCTATGACGTCTATTGTTTAGGTTTAGATACGCTTCGAGCAGATATCAAAGTTCGAGGGAAATCATGGAAAATTGTAGTTTAGTAGCAGTGAAATCGACTTGATGCTCCTACGTAGCTAAACTGCTATAACACGTCAGGGTTATATATATATATATATATATATTATAATCTGTGTAGGATACAGGTTCGATTCTTGTCGAAGGACGCATATATTCTGTGAAAATTTCTCGGACGTTCAGGCCTGTAACTGTTGTTAATACTGTTTATTATAAACACAGCATTTACTTAAATATATGTGTCTATATAAATAACGTATATCATTATATATATATATATATATATATATCATTATATATATATATATATATATATATATATATATATATATATAGATAGATAGATAGATAGATAGATAGATAGATAATGTATGCGCGGTACTTATTCAAAAGCGCTCAATATCGGTGATAGAGTGAACATATTCACAACAACAATATATATATATATATATATATATATATATATATATATATATATATATATATATATATATATATATAAGTGAGCATTGAAGTCAAGACTCAGAGGCGACAGGCTGTGTCATGCTAGACGCAATATATATATATATATATATATACTCTATCTGCAAAAAGACAATATGAATAATGATCCACGGAAAATCAATGCGTTTTTTCTTCTGTTGGACTTCATCAGGCCAAATTTATATTTACCTTGATAAAGTCCATTACAGAATGAAACGAATTTGTAAAAAGAAAGTCTTTCTGTTTGTCTTTATTCACACACACACACACACACACACACACACACACACACACACACACACACACATATATATATATATATATATATATATATATATATATATATATATACAGCGCGAGATAGTGAGTGTATGTAAGAGAGAGAGGGAATATTTGTTTTGTATTTACTTACCACCTCATATTTTATTACATAATGCATTTTAACCATTGTTAATAATTTATATTAAAAGAAGCGTTGTCAAAACCATTACTATCAATTTTTGGCTAGATTTACTTGCCTCTTTATTTTTTATTTTTTTAGTTGCTTTTTAATCCAAATTTTACTCAGGCCGTCAATCTGCTGCACTAAATTGACAGCGTGGATCGGAAACAAATGACAAATTCTCGCTCATATGGAACTCATTCCAATTTTTGCTTACGGAAAACCTGATTAAATGCTATAAAATACACTAAATCATTAAGACGCAAAGAAATAATAATAATAATAATAATAATAATAATAATAATAATAATAATAATAATGTAGACCAATGAAATGATAAAAGTAAACTGAAAATTACAAACATTATAGACACACAAGCACCGATACACATTTTAAAAATATATTTTAATTTCCGTTTTGTGTCGATACAACAAAAATCCGTCTTATATTTTTTGAAATTATTGTTTGTATGTGTGTTTGTGTGTCTGCGTGTGTGTACGAGCGAGAATACGTGTATGTGTTTGTGTGTATGCGAGCGTACGTGTGTGTGTGTGTGTGTGTGTGTGTGTGTGTGCGAGCGTACGTGCCTGCATGAGCCTCTGTGTTCTTGTGTTTGTGTGTGTGTTAGTTCGTGTGGGCGTGCGTGTGTGCGTGCGCGCGCATTCGTGAATGTACGCGTGCGTATGTGTGTCTGTGTGTGCGCGCGTGTGTGCGCGTGCGTATGTGTCTCTGTGCGTGCGTATGTCTGTGTATGTGTACGCATGCGTGCTTGCATCTGTGTGCGCGTGCTTCCATATCAAAGGAAGACACTTTTACCATGTTTCTATTCATAATCATTAAAGTACAAACTGAAGACTAGATGTCCACTCATGGGTTTGTATCGTTGGAGTTGAAAATGAGAGACCGTAATTCCCCATGTATAACACGCATTCATCCATAATACGCACTCCAAAATTCGTGTTGAAACTGTGGGTAAATGCTTCTACTCACGCATAATACGCACCCCTTGTTTGGTAATCAAACCCTATAAATTATACCTCTCCAATTTTACGGCCAGCGTTTCCTGCTCTTATGAAAAATGGTTTTGTTTTAAACATTGAATTCTAATTTAGTTTTATGATAATTCTTATTTTATTTTACATTTGTAAGTATTGTTAGATACATATGATTGTATTTGACATCCTTATGGGGTCGCAATCGCCGAATGTTAGTGTCAAATTGTCGTATGTTTGGGGTGATTAGTCATTTCACAACTGAAATTGACCTATGAAACGACAATGTTTTAAAGATTTTTTTGTAGCTGTGTATAATACGCACCTCTAATTTTGCTTATTATTTTTTAGAAAAAAAAAAGCGTATTATACATCGGTAATTACGGTAGTTACCCCATATCGAAAAAACATTATAAACGGTACATTCAGTATATATAAAACATTCTATACAGTATAAGGCTTATCGAAAGTGTTTCGATTAAAATAAAAAGAAAAGAATTTTAATGTTTGTAATCCTAGATGCCTGCTCATGGGCTCCATTTGAATAACGTGAAAAGCGAAGACAGCGGTGTTGCAACTTAAGCAACAGTAAGTGGTTTGGGTATCTCTATATGTGTGCGAGCGTGCATGTGTGCCTCGCTCGCGCCCTTGCGTACCTGGTTAAGGGCGCAGAATAGACCGGAAGTAGAAAAATAGCGTTAACATGGGGAAAGACTAGATACCTGCTGATAGGTTCGTGTAATCAATTTTTTTTTAATTTCACAAAATACAGCAAGCTTCCAACATTATTTCACTTCGTTTGTATAAACATTTCACAATTATGATGACGGGTGGGGCCATAGCTACCGTTGAGCCGATTTCAAATTCCTGTTTAGGTCAACACTATTTACTTTATCCTATTTGGCGTTGGGAAAGGCATGAGTAGATTTCTCCCTGTTCCCAGAACCATTGACAGGTATCTTGAAAAAAATATCTGGTCACTCATTGCTCATATTAGTAACTGAAAAGTTAGTACTTCGTCTGTTATTATAGTAACACTTTAAAACTGTTACTCGTATTAACCTTGACTCTACCTATAAGACAATGGAATAGGAAAAATTTTAAACGGGTTTTTGAATGCAAGAAAATATCTGCTTGAGGATGCGTAGCCAGTTAACAAAATGATCTTTCTGTAATGTTACAGATAGTTTTTTTTTTTTTTTTTGTAGACTCTATACATTGGGACTGCAACGTTACTCTGGGATGCAGGGGCGGTACAAGGATCTCGTGCACCCTCGAATCTATGATACGGAGCCCTACAGTCTAACACATTGCAATTTTCATAAGGTAACATTCATATAAAATACAAATTTTATTGTAGCCGAATTATCTATTATAAAAGATTGTATGGGACATAGGTGAACAATTCAACTATGAAATTTTAAAATAAATACAACGAATCTAAATTCAGAACAGAGGCATGTTATAATAGATCATTTCATTCTAAATAAATAAAAAATGTTTCGCGACAGCTTTTAACACCTTTCCCGCCAATTATTTTGGGGAAAACATTTGATTTTACGGACGATTTTTTTTTTTTTTTTTGCTTTCAATAGAGTAACTAAGAAACTGAGGCATTTGACAACTGGACTGATTTCAAGCTTAGAAGGGCATAAAAATAATCAAGATCGACGTATAAACATGTCTGTAGTTAGTTTTTCAACGTTATGTTTAGGACGTATTTATTCGTCCGTGCCTGAAAAATTATTTCGGTAAAACGTATATACACGTCTACGCCGGGAAAGGGTCACTATCAACTTAAGAATTTTTTTTTTTTTTTTGAGATTAAAACATTAACTCAGTTGTGCTTAGATTAATTTATTAAGTTTATAAATGTAGGTAGACAAAATAGTACTGTTCGCGACTCTCAATCAGGCTTCCCCGTCCGGTCGCAGAATTCGGGAGTAGTACGCATTGGCTCTCTTGTGAGGTTGCAAATACGTTGCCCTTTAGCGTTACATTAACAGAAAATGAATAATCAATTCAAAGAAGATATTAGAATTCTACATTTATTCTCTAAATCGGTGATTATTAATTGATATAATATATATATATATATATATATATATATATATATATATATGCTTAAAAAAATACAGAGTTTCCATAAATCTCTTTACAATTTAAAAATTATATTTATTACTTTACAATTTAAAAATATATATATATATATATATATATATATATATGTAAAAAATACAGTTTCCATAAAGTCTCTTTTATAATTTAAAAATTACGTTACAAAAGCAAATAAACAGATATATATATATATATATATATATATATGTGTGTGTGTGTGAAACTTGTTACAAAATGAGAAGAATAGACATAGTTCCAGGCTCCTCAAAATCTCTAATCTCCCGATCAGAGGCCTTGCTGCCGGATGTAGCTTATCGTCATACCCAGTACAAATATAAAATGTAAAAGGCAAACTACCGACGTGTAGATGCGTGCGATTTACTAAGAGTATCATAGATACGGCACAAGGCCTAAAGTATGGTTGCACCCAATAAGGATCGAACACTCTACTCAGTCGTAACTGATCCAGCGAGAGAAGCATTATAACTATTACGCCACGGCGAAGCACCACACGTGCTTGATAGGTGTATATGTATTTGAACGCGTGAAAACTATATACCCGTTCAAGATCACGTATCAAAAGATCAACACGCAAAATTAGGTGTTTAGTCCTGTATAAAAACTAACTGGCAAACTGCCCACGTGTATGTGTATGTATGTTCACATGTGCTTGATGATGTAGAACAAATCTAGATACCCGCTCAAGAGCGCGTAATATGAATACGACACAAAAATCAACCAGCAAAATTAGAGGTTTAGTTTTGTATAAAAGTTAAAGACAAACTGCCCACGTATGTGTGTGTACGCGCGCGCATGTGCTTGATAGATGTTTGCTCATTCGAACACTAGATACCCGCTCAAGAGTGCGCATCATATAAAATCATAAGACAAACTGCCCACGTATAGTGATTTTCTAAGCCCGGCCTAGATGTGGCACGAAAGTATAGGGCACCCAGTGAGGATCGAACTCATTACTCAGTCGTAATTGATCTAGCAAGACAAGCTTTCTAACCATTACACCACCTTGAGGTGCCCAACTGCCCACGTATATGCGTGTACGTGTGTGCATGTGCTTGATAGATTTTTGTGCATTTGAACACGAGAAAACTAGATACCTGCTCAAGAGCGCGTATCACGGAAACCAAATCAAAAATCAACCAGCAAAATTAGCCGTTTAGCTTCTAATAAAAATATAAATGACACATTATCCAAGTTTATGTGTGTTCGTGTATGTGGGTGTGTGTATGTGTGCACATGTGCTTGATATATGCATATGAATTTGAACGCGAGATAACGAGACACCCGCTCAAGAGCGCGTATAAAAAAAATCAAACCAACAAAATTAACCGTTTAGCATCTTCTAAACACGTAAATGTCAAACTGCCCATTGTCGGTGTATGCGTGAAAACGAACAAAATTCAACCACTGGCACGTATCAAAGATAAAAATATAGTAGCCACATGTCTGTATATACGCGCGTGTTTGCATGTGTTGCCTAAGTCCAAAGTATTCACTTTTAATTAAGTGCCATACGTGATAGATATTTGTGCGATCATGGCTCTAAAGACTGAAGATTTTTCCCGCTGCTTCTTTCTGCAGTAGACTGGTTGCCAACCAAGGCTATAGGATCCAGGTTGTCCTGCTATTGAAACAATAGAAGAAGAGTATGACTCCCACCTCTCCCGGGAGTATTTTCACGTAAGTAAATGTAACGAACCCGAAAGGAATTCGAACTCGGCTATCCGATGACACCACAACACACATCCAACGTATTACAAAAGCTATAATTTGTAAATGACAAGATACCCGCCCATGGGTTCATATTAAGAGATTTCCAAATTTAGCAATTTTATTTTCTTAATATATGTGCATGTATGCGTCCAAGTGTGTGTTTAACTGTGTATGCGAATTTGAACGCAAGTAAGGCTAGATACCCGCTCAAGAGTCCATATCGGGTAACTAGCTAAGTGAACCGTTGGTATTGTATAAAGAAATATAATAATTCGCCCATATGTGCGCATGTACGTGTTATGTGGTAGTGGTGGTGGTCGTGTGCTGTTTGTATGTGTGTGTGTGTGTGTGTGTGTGTGTGTGTGTGTGTGTGTGTCCATGGTTTTAGAAGTGCTTTTACGCTTGAAGGGTCAGATACCCGTTTATAGGTTCGGGTCGAGTAACCAGAAAAATGAAGCTGCGCCCTTACATAACATATTGGAATAAGCGGCCCACGTGTATCTGCGTGCGTCTTAAATATTTTATCAATGCTTGAACGCATGAAAGACTAGATGCGTATTCAGTGGCCCCCACAATCACATACACACAAAAAAAAAAAAAAGCCACCAGCGGTATTATATATTAGAAACAACGACAAACAACTACTCTGTGTGAGAGTTCATGCGTGCGAACGTGTGAGAAAAAGAAGACAGAAAGAAAGAAAGAAAGAAACAAACAAAGAAAGAAAGAAACAAAGAAAGAATGACGCCTATTGCATGTTCCTTAAAAAGAACAAAACACAGCGCGTACGCCTATACCTTGCAAATTTACCGGGTTTTCGCGAAAGCCTTTCATTGTCAGTGATAGTTCTGTGCGTGTGTGTGGGGGGGTGCTCATTTTCTTTCATACTCAACCTTGCGTGTGGGCGTTCATCTCCGTAGAACTACGCATGGAAATGTTTGACTGTGTGAACGATTTCGCAACGATCCATGCTTCCGTCTCTCTTGTAGGGCCGAGTGCTTTCGACGTGCAAAGCTACTGCGTAAAAGGTGCATCTTCTTCTTCTTCTTCTTCTTCTTCTTCTTCTTCTTCTTCTTCTTCTTCTTTGCCTTCTGTGCAGTTTTGTATCATCGCATTTCTTTTTACTGCATTTATTTCCCTTCTTCGCATTTTTCTATCATTGCCTCTTCTTTTTTGACATCATTTATTTATTCTTTTCTTCGTATTTCTTTTCCTATTTTTGTGTCATTTCTTCTTCTTTCTACATCAGTTATTTTCCTCCTTCTTCTTTTGTCTTATTTTTGTTACTTTTCTATTTCATTTCCCTTTTTTCTTTTTCTTCTTCGTATTTTTGTATCATTCTTTCATTTTCCTACGTAATTTCTTTCTTTTTTTTTTAAATCTCCTTTTTCTTCCTATTTTTTGCATCGTTGCTTCTTTATTCTACATCAATTATGTCCTCCTCCTCCTCCTCCTCCTCCTCCTTCTTCTTCTTCTTCTTCTTCTTCGCATTTTGTAGCATCCCTTTTTCTGCTGCGTTTATTTCCTTCCTTCTCAGCATTTTCTTCTTCTTCCTCCATTTCTTCTTTTTTCTTCTTCCTCTTTTTGTATCATTGCTTCTTCCTTCTATCATTTATTTCTTTTCTTCTTTTTCATTATTATTATTATTATTATTATTATTGAATGTAAACTTCAACTGTCATGGTATTGGTAACTACTGTTTTTTTCAATACACAGACACGTGTGTGTACGTGTATATATATATATATATATATATATATATAAAACATTCAGAGAAAAATCCCAATTCTTATGTTTATATATATATATATATATATATATATATATATATATATATATATATAAACATTTCACAGAAGAAAAATCCCAATTTTCAGAGTTTGCGACCGGCCAAACTCATCCATTCATGGCATAATTAAACATTGGCTAAACGACGGGCTTTTGTTAAATATACAACCCCACCCACCACATAATTAAGAACAGTAACGAAATTGAAATCCAGATTCGTGGCTGCCTTATGATTTCCCATAAAGAAAAAAAAAAAAAAAAAGAAGTGAGAAAATGTATTAATATCATTATTGTTGTTTGTTGACGTTAAGTTTAGCATTTCGATGCAATCATTTACCAATATTTTCACCTGAAACTTGAGAAAAATAATTTTTTTCTTTGGAATTTACTGAAAGAGATTTCTAAAAAAATTATGTGAGAAAGACAATATTTTTTTAATTTCATGTAACTAGCCGAATATCCGTTCTACGAACAGAGAAAATTCGCAAAGTTGTCACAGAAATCTTCTAATCTCAATAAAACTTCTGTGCAAACAACATTTTCAACACGACATCTATTTTATCAAGACCCTTTGGTCATTATTCCAATTTCACTTGGAATCCTTACTCTGGCCAGAGCTACATAGAGCTCACCAAGAGAGAATCCTTTGAATCATTTTGCAATGTTTATATAAATAACAATAAAAATGAATTCAGCAAATTTAATATTTTTTCAAGTATATAAATAATTTAAATACTTGTTTAAATAATTTTAATAATTCAGTAAAATTTTAAGAAAATCTAATTAAACAGACTATTTTGATTCTTTAGATAACGCTTTAAAAATATTTTCAGCTCCATTCGACAAATTTATTGTAATGCGAAATATGGGACGGTAGCAATGCTTATTATGAACACTGTTGGTTCTGTAACTTACAACCGTATTTTGGGCGTCCTGGGTATCGTCTGATAAACTACATCCGCGCTCTGGGTAAGACGATAAACTACATCCACGTCCTGGGTAAGACAATAAACTACATCCGTGTACTGGGTAAGACGATAAACTATATCCGCGGCCTGGGTAAAACGATAAACTACATCTGGGTCCTGGGTAAGACGATAAACTACATCTGCGTCCTGGGTAAGACAATAAACTATATCCGCGTCCTGGGTAAAACGATAAACTACATCCACGTCCTGGGTAAGACGATAAACTACACCCACGTCCTGGGTAAGACGATAAACTACATCTGCGTCCTCGGTAAGACGATAAACTACATCCGCGTCCTAGGTAAGACAATAAACTACATCCACGTCCTGGGTAAGACGATAAACTACATCCACGTCCTGGGTAAGACGTTAAACTTCATCCGCGTCCTGGGTATGACAATAAACTACATCCGCGTTCTGGGTATGACGATAAACTACATCCACGTCCTGGGTAAGACGATAAACTACATCTGCGTTCTCGGTAAGACGATAAACTACATCCGCATCCTAGGTAAGACGTTAAACTACATCTGCGTCCTGGGTAAGACGATAAACTACATCCGCGTCCTGGGTAAGACGATAAACTACATCCAACAGCAAGGCCTCTGATCAGGAGGTTTCGAGAAGCATGGAACTATCTCTTAATTGTTGGTGTTCCCAGGTCCATCCTGTCCCGGAGTTATTGCACCTGTTAGGGTCCCAGTTACGGGCAAATAGTTGACGCCACAAACTGGTGTCAAAATACTGTGAAAGTGTAAATATAGGTTTTAGTACCAGCAATACATTTTTGTAAAAAATGATTACCAACAATTAATTTTTGGAGAAAAAATTATTACTGGCAATAAATTATTACCAGCAAAACATTTTGAAAAATGTTGCCAGCATTACCTTTTAAAAAAATTTAGCAGCAATAAAAATTTTGTTGGCATTGAGGTTGATATGCCGTAAAACAAAACAAACCAAATTAATATATACTGAGATAGATAGATAGATAGATAGATAGATGGATAGATAGATAGATAGATAGATAGGAACAGTCTGAGATAGATAGATAGATAGATAGATAGATAGATAAAAATATTACCATCAATAAAAATTTTCGGCATTAAATAACACATTTAGGTTGATATGCCGTAATATAAAACAAACCAAACCCGTATTTTGGTAGATATCAATTCTTTCTATACAAACACGATCAAATAATAATACTTTATTGACAGAAACATTTCTTATATATGGCAATTTAAAAAGTCTGAAATGAAAATAACTAACAGGCAAAGTATTTATTAACTCTTAGTTGAGCCACAAGTCATCGTGACCGAGGCTCTGAGCGTGCTGTCCTTGTTCAGATTGTTGATAACGCGTTCTCACCAAGAAACTGTAACTAAAGTCAGCTCAACATAATTGCAGCATAAACTACAGTTGGGTTTTGTTGGTGTTAAACAAACACAAATGTGCTTGGGTAGGCATCTGCAAATGGGTGTTAGATAGCCTCCCTCGTAAACTGGTATCCTCAGATACGGGTGGCCAGCTAAATTAGATGTCATCACCCATGTTGAAAATGTGATTTATTTTAATAAATATAAAAGCAAGGGGGGATTTTTTTTATCTACAAGGCGAGACTTCAGGCGAGGAACAATAATATTGCTGATTTTTCTTTTGATTTTATCAAGGGTTGGGTCAAGCTTTTATCAAGAATCTCTTGGATTTTCTAAATTACCGTTTTTGCCTACTGGACGAAGTTTTTTTTTTTTCAGAATTATCCACTCTTTTGGGAGCTTTTCGATATGGTGTAATGGTTGACAAGCTTATTTTGCCCGACCAATTCCAACTGAATAATGAGTTCGATCCTCGCTGGTTGCTCCGTACTTTCGGCCTTGTGCCAAACCTAAGCTACCATTAGGAAATCATTTATACCTACCTTGTTTAGGAGTTCGTTTCTATCAAGTAAAGTTGATATTAATATTTAGCTCAAACCCCAGGCAATAACTCTTCTTCGGAAGGGGGCTGGGTTTCTTGCCCTTTAATAATGAGGCGTTACAAGAAAGAAAAAGTTCCGAGGGGTCATCAGTAATTTTTGCGGTTAAAGCCATTTTATACTGGCCTTGTGTCACATTCGGTAGCGACGTTTGCAAGCTGCAAATTACATTTTGCGCTAATGTGGTAAAGTGTGGACGCACATTCAAAATTTAGCCTGACGCGAATTTATTTTATTTTCTAATCGAATTCACCCCATGTAAGGCATTATAAGCACTAAGAAACATGGGATTACGGAATGCGAAAGGATAAGAAAAAAGAGAAACATTATTAAGGATCGAGAACAATAGAGGAGTAATCAAGAAGACGGTAGATAACGGTTGACATTGCATTTGAATTTGTTTTCTAATCATTTCACCCCATGCAAGGCAGTAAAGCCACTAAGACACAAGGGGTGACTGAGTGTGAAAGAATAAGAAAAAAAAGAGAAACATTATTAGGGAGTGAAAACAATAGACGAGTAATGAAGAAGAGAGTTGAGGGCGATTGACATTGCATTTGAATTAGTTTTCTAATCATTTCACTCCATGCAAGGCAGTAAAACCACTAAGACACAAGGGTTTACTAAGTGTGAAAGAATAAAAAGAGAGAAACATTATTAAGGAGTGAGAACAAAAGAAGAGTAATCAAGAAGACAGTAGAAAGCGATTGACATTGCATTTAAATTTGTTTTCTAATCATTTCACCCCAAGCAAGGCAGTAAAGCCACTAAGACACAAGAGGTTACTGAGTGTGAAAGAATAAAAAGAGAGAAACATTATTAAGGAGTGAGAACAAAAGAAGAGTAATCAAGAAGACAGTAGAAAGCGATTGACAAGGGGTGACTGAGTGTGAAAGAATAAGAAAAAAAAAGAAACATTATTAGGGAGTGAAAACAATAGACGCGTAATCAAGAAGACGGTAGATAACGGTTGACATTGCATTTGAATGTTTGAAGTTCAAAGTTGGCTATAAAGCATGGAGCCGGAAGAGAGTTCCACAAGCCGGAAGAGAGTTCCACAAGCGAGAAATATGACAGAGGAAACTGTTAGCATAGAACTTACGGTTGCATCGAGCCAACTCAACTGTAAATTGATGAGACCATTTTTATTTTATTTTGTGAGATTTTGTAGCTGGTCGTAAGGACGGAGAGTCAAGTCGTTGAGTGAGGTCTGGCTGTACAGGACTGATTTTTAAAATTTTAAATTTTTGAATCATTTCACCCCATGCAAGACAGTAAAGTCACTAAGACACGAGTGTGGAAGAATAAGAAAAAAGAGAAAAATCAAGGCGCGTGAATAATAGAAGAATAATCAGGTAGGCAGTAGATAGCGATTGATATTACATTTAAATCTTTGAAGATCAAAGGTGTCTGGAAAGCATGACGCCGGAAGAGAGTTCAACAAACGAGAAGTGCGAGAAAAGTAATACTGTTAGCATGGAACTTACGATTGCATCTAGCTAATTCAACCGTGAATTGATGAGACCATGCTGCCAATCTTGTACTGCGCTTGAATTAAAAAAAAAAAAAAAAAAAGTTTTGGCTGTTGTCAAGTTTATGTTTTTGTTTTTGATTGCAATATTTTTGCGATCGAATGGTATTTTAAATCGGTCGCAACATTTAGCGATAAAAAAGAATTTAATACTACATGTCAAATGCAAACGTCTGTTGTCGATAAGCAAATGTATGTGTAGATTTCTCATTGTTTGCGGCCCAGTTAAATCTTTTTAATTTTGTTTCTTAAGTTTCTAATCAATATTAATTTTAGTAGACAGTCGGACGCCTTAGTGCTTTTGATTACGATAATATATATATATATATATATATATATATATATATATATATATATATATATATATATTAAAATATGATTCCTTCGCTACATAAGA